ATATGACTTTGCTGAGTATCTCCCAAAGAAATGGCTGGTCAAATGGCCCTTGCAGGGCCGTCTTGCCCATAGGCACTAGGGATGTGGGGCACCCGGGCGCCGGGCTCTCAGGGGTACCAGGCCGAGAGTCCGGGGCCGAGATTTGGAGTCTGGGGTTTGGGAAGAGCCGACAGCCACTGCCAAGCGGAGCAGAGCCTGTCGAAGTGCCACAGCCCTTCTGCTGCAGGCAGGCAAGGCACTGAGGCAGCCAGCCAGCTCCGCCCTCCTGCGTGCCTGGGATTGGCGGGCCTTCAAGAGGCCTGCCCAGTGCACACTACTCACAGGAGCCTCGAGCTCGACTGTTGTTGCACTGGGCTCTGCTTGCTTGCCCACCCCCTGGCACCTGGCCCTAGCTTTGCTCTGCTGCTGCCGCTGCTTCGGGCTCCTCTGTTGCTGCTGAGGTGGCCAGCCAGGCCAGCTCTGCCATGTGTGCTTCGCCAGCCCACCCTAAAAAAAGGTTGACAACTCTGGGCAACGGGGTGGATCTTTGCACCCCAGTGCCGCATATGCTTAAGACAGCCCTGGGCACTTGTTATGTTTGTTGTGTCTTCAGTCTTAGATGAAGAGTTTTGTATTGATGGACATCAATTGAACTTCCCCAAACCCTACAAAACTGAGCTGAATGAGGATCTGACCACAGCCTCCTTTGACTCCTGCCTTTCTCAAACTCTACAGCTCATTCTGTGCACCACAGCCCTTCAGAGTGTGAGTGGGGCTGTTAAAAGTGGAGCCTGAATGGGAACTAGTTTCATTGGTCTGCAACACTCGGCACCTGCTGAGGTACCTTCCTCAGTAGATGACCAAGTGCTGACAACCAGAAGTCCCTGGCCTTCATCTTCATGCCACTGCAACCTACTCACCTCCCCTTTCCAAGGGTACAGTGGCAGCACTAAGAAGGAAGAGCAGTTGTGGTCTCACGTGCCTACAGTGGTCAAGTGGGGACTGTGCCCAGAGGAAGAATCTCTCAAAGACCAATATTTCATTCTTGGGGGCAAAGAAAGTTTTTTCTGAATATCGCATTCAGTGATACTACATTAGAATAGCCCGATGGATCATGCCAATGGCCCGTCTAGTCCAGCATTCTGTTCTCACAGTGGCTGACCATATGCCTGTGGGAAACCAACAAGCAAAAGTTTAGCACAAGAGCACTCTCTCCTTCCATAGTTTCCAGAAACAGGTAGAGTACTGTGGAGTGGCTCGCTTGCAAATATGGGACAATGCCTTTTCTGTTGTGACATTTGCTTTGTCAAACTATCTGCTCTGTGATATGCTCAGTTGCTTTCTTATTTTGTGGTGAGGGACTATATATATGGATATGAAATATTTATTTCTTACTGATAATGGTGTCACTGATATTGATCTAGCATCTTCTTTAAAAAAAGGAATATTGATCTTTGTTGGTATATTCTTTTAAAAAATGTTAATAACAGCAGATATTGGGTTGGATTCAGAGTAAGTTAATTCAACTTAATTTCCACTGAAATCAATGGAACTTAAGTCATGACCAACTTATCCAATGGATTTCAATGGGGCCTAAATTAAATGAGCGGGCATACATGTAGTTTAATGGTGAATTTTAGACACAATGGAGAAGTAAAAGATTTGGTTTATCATAAAAGATGCAGGAGGAAATGATTAACAATAGGAGCCACAAAGGGAGGAGGGAAATCCAGGAGATTCTTTGGAATCTTGTTTTATGTTGCATGTTGGATATGTGACTGTAAAAATTTAATCTGAAAAACCATGTGTGTGTGTGTGTGTGTGTAATGAGCTTGTTATGGATCCAACCTATTGTTTTCATTATTTTGGTGCATTTTTTATATGGCATTTCTAGAAGTCATTTTTTAAGAACACTATTTTTTAAGAGCACTAGTTCAACATAATTTGTTAGGATCAACTGACAGTCATAGAATAGTGAGCTGCTAAATGGTGCTGTAATTGGTTAGCATATTGGACTTTGGTTGGGGAGATCTGGATTAATATCCCTGATCAGGCATGAAATTCACTGGGATACTTTTGTCCAGTCCCTGTGTGAGTCTAGCCCACCTAACAAAGAGATCAGATGCAAGACCAGTCCTGGCCTCCAACCCCTAACTCCCCTCTCCCCCCCCCCCATACACACTGCCGGTAAACTTACAACATTGGTAAACAGCACTCAGTCAGATGATGTCCATCCTTCTGCTGTGATAAAGTCCAGAATTGTGACCCCTTTGGATTCCCCTCCACTACATAGTCAGAGGCCCCATGTCCAAAGATGCTGGGAGCTACTAATGTCAACCCTGGGACCTCCCTTTCTTCCTGCTGTCTGTCGCCACCACTCAAAGCAGAGTAACATAAGTACTGTTGGAGGGGAGGGCTCTAGCTCTTCCACAGCAGGGCCATAGCTCACAGGTAGAGCATTTGCTTTACATGCAGAAGAGCTCAGATTCAGATTCAGTCCCTGGAATCTGCAGTTAAAAGCTGGGCAAAGAGACCATGGAGGACCACTGCCAGCCAATTTCAACAATACTGATGAACTAACAACCTGACTTGGTATAAGGCAGCTTCCTGCATTACCAGGCTTGACCCCATACATTGGCTGGCTTTTGCTACTTTAACTATCATATAAATTTCAGCCAAGAAAAGGGGCTGCTGAGTGTAATGTTTTGAAGTGGGGAAAAGTCAGCTACTGTTAATCAAGATTCAATTTGGACGGATGAGCGATTAGTTGTCTGTGTCCCTGCTGGAATCTTGGCATACCGCTCATTTGTCTGGCATTCCTTTGCAGTTTCACTCATCAAAATAATGGGCTTTTAAACAATAGGATAACAGTGAAATGCTTCTTTAACTTGGCGGAGTTACCACTAAATCAGCTTATCCTTCCTCTCTTTTTTCCTTTCCTGACTATCCCCAGTATTCCCAGAGTTAACATTAATTTACATGCCATGTCCAAATGTACTTCATATTTCAACTAGATTAGAGCTCAGTTCCTTTGAAGTAGTCATAATGTTTGACAAGACTCTCTTGCGCTCCCTTTTTTCTCTCTCAGATGAATATAGTGCCCATGGAAGATGCAGGGTTCTCTCATCCTTTCTTCTTATTTTGTGGCGCTTTCTTACGATGCTGGACAGAAACTGGAGCTTTCTCTGTGCAAACTGTTAAGTTGTGGGTGAACATATCAGACGGCACAGCGATTCTTCAAACAGCTCTTGTTTAATCAGAGGCCAGAACAGAACTGAACTGAAGGGCTCAGTCAGCCTGCTTATATAGAGCTCCAGTACAACGTTACTGTAGCAACTTTCCAAAACTATCCAATCACTGAACGTCACTTTCGATCCTTCATTTGCATAACTATCTACAGTATCCCCCTGCTGGCCCAGGGTAAGAACTTCAGTACATAACACCAACTTTCCAAAGTGGCAGAAGGGAACATGCTCAGCAAAGGTTCTGTCTAACCACACAAGATTCTTGTATTGTGATAATGTGGGTGAACCCCGAAGAACACCGCTGTACAAGTGTTAAATAGCAGTATGCAGTTATTCTGTTTCCTACCCTGCCCTTTCTCCAAGGAGCTCACAACAATACTAGAAAGAAGGAATGGCTGAAAGAGAAAAATAGGTTTACCCAAGCCACTCTGTGAGTTTCATGGCTAAGTGGGGATTTGAACCCAAATCTTATCAGATCTAGCCTAATTACTACAATACATTGGTTTGCATCATGCTGCACTTATGTGCAAAGGGAATGGAGGACCAAAAGCACAATACAGACTTGGGGAAGAGCGTGTTCATTTGTACCAGGTAACCTAGGGGTCAAGGGAAACTGGTGGTTGCAGCACCACGGATAGCTCCAAGGGAGCAACCTGCTTTGACAAAACCCTGAGGTGAGCTGAGGTCTCATAAATCCCTTCCCCAAAGTCCACCTTTCCCCAGCTCCATCCCCTTGGCCTAAAGACGATGGCCATCCCTGTGTTCTGAAGGTAAGCCCTTCTTTGTCTCTCTGTGGTCTTCCACCTGGCACGCTCCCTGCACCATTAGGCAGGTGTGGTAGCATGGGAAGCACTTGATTCCTTGAGGCTCAGGGGAAAACATCTATGAGAGTCTCAGCTCAGGCACTGCAGGATCTGGACCACCACTCTCAGGTTCTATGGGCACAAAACCAGCAACCTTAAAAGCTCTGTTGGCTTTTAAACAGAAGCATTAACAGTTGGTTCAATTCCCCAGCTGTTGCCGCAGCAGCCCTGGATTCATCTGGCTCCTCTTTTGGCACTCAAGGCTATGACTAGGTCCCAGTGGGTGCCAGCAACTGTGCCTATTGCTTTATGCAGTTCATTGTCTGGTGTTGATTCATTTCAGTGGTCCTTTGGAAGGGCAATGTTTTCTTGTTTGACCATTTGGTTGTGTTTTACTAGGGCCGCTATGTAACCAAACAATGACTCTTGGTTCAAATGCATTTCAGCAGCTATTTGGAAATCCAGTAGTCAATGGTCATTCTTTTGACTACTTCCTCCTAGCAGGGAGGAAGCTACACGTTGTTTTCCATCCTTCCTTCTCAAACACACCTTCTTCCCATTTTCTCACCCTTCTTTGTTGTTCTGACTCAAGTCAGATTGGAAGAGAGCATTTAGGGCAGGGGATATTGCATCAGTAAGTTGTCTGTGCGTGTGTATGTGTGTGTGTGTGTGTGTGTGTGTGTGTATATATATGTTGTTTAGTCGTTTAGTCGTGTCCGACTCTTCGTGACCCCATGGACCAGAGCACGCCAGGCACTCCTGTCTTCCACTGCCTCCCGCAGTTTGGTCAGACTCATGTTTGTAGCTTCGAAGACACTATCCAACCATCTCGTCCTCTGTTGTCCCCTTCTCCTTGTGCCCTCCATCTTTCCCAACATCAGGGTCTTTTCCAGGGAGTCTTCTCTTCTCATGAAGAGGTGGCCAAAGTATTGGAGCCTCAGCTTCATGATCTGTCCTTCCAGTGAGCACTCAGGGCTGATTTCCTTCAGAATGGATAGGTTTGATCTTCTTGCAGTCCATGGGACTCTCAAGAGTCTCCTCCAGCACCATAATTCAAAAGCATCAATCCTTCGGCGATCAGCCTTCTTTATGGTCCAGCTCTCACTTCCATACATCACTACTGGGAAAACCATAGCTTTTACTATACGGACCTTTGTTGGCAAGGTGATGTCTCTACTTTTTAAGATGCTGTCTAGGTTTGTCATTGCTTTCCTCCCAAGAAGCAGGCGTCTCTTAATTTCGTGGCTGCTGTCACCATCTGCAGTGATCATGGAGCCCAAGAAAGTAAAATCTCTCACTGCCTCCATTTCTTCCCCTTCTATTTGCCAGGAGGCGATGGGACCAGTGGCCATGATCTTCGTTTTTTTGATGTTGAGCTTCAGACCATATTTTGCACTCTCCTCTTTCACCCTCAATAAAAGGTTCTTTAATTCCTCCTCACTTTCTGCCATCAAGGTTGTGTCATCTGCATATCTGAGGTTGTTGATATTTCTTCTAGCAATCTTAATTCCGGTTTGGGATTCATCCAGCCCAGCCTTTCGCATGATGAATTCTGCATATAAGTTAAATAAACAGGGAGACAAAATACAGCCTTGTCGTACTCCTTTCCCAATTTTGAACCAATCAGTTGTTCCATATCCAGTTCTAACTGTAGCTTCTTGTCCCACATAGAGATTTCTCAGGAGACAGATGAGGTGATCAGGCACTCCCATTCCTTTAAGAACTTGCCATAGTTTGCTGTGGTCGACACAGTCAAAGGCTTTTGCACAGTCAATGAAGCAGAAGTAGATGTCTTTCTGGAACTCTCTAGCTTTCTCCATAATCCAGCGCATGTTTGCAATTTGGTCTCTGGTTCCTCTACCTCTTCTAAATCCAGCTTGCACTTCTGGGAGTTCTTGGTCCACATACTGCTTGAGCCTTCCTTGTAGAATTTATATATATATGGAATAAAACTTTTTAGAAGTTCATGTTTTTATTATGCTTTTTTGCAAGGCCAAAATAATCAAACAGGCTAACTAATGCGATTGCTTGGTTAAAAAGAGAAAGTATACCACTGCCTCTCTGTCAAGAGAGAATGAAGGTAAGATGGGAGCGAGCGTATGTGGTGGAAGTTACTTTATCACACATGCATTTTCAAAGGAGAGAAGAGACATTAGCAGCTAACAGAGGCACGTTGTCAACTGCAAACATAAATATTTCAGATTTTCAGGTACTGTGGGAATGTCATTAATGTTAAAAAAACCAAAAACCAAACACACACACTGACAATGAGGGGCCCTGGAGTCAGCAATGACCGTGGGAGGCACTTCAAGAGATGGCAGCAGAAGTTCTGACAACAGGCACTGTAATAATAATAAACTCATTTGAAAGGCGTGTAAGTAAGTAGAGAACTGGGACAAAGCAAGTGTAGTGTGGTGTTTGCATCTGAACGCAAAGAAGCAAACTGACACTTCACAGAGTTCCATGTTTTTGTTGTTGCAGGTTAAATAAATTAACAGCTGTGTCATGCCCTTTACCCATAGCTGCAAGAGGGTGAACAGTACACTGAGCCCCACAGCCTGAGACAGAGGAGCAAAGACAGGTTGTGCAGGGAACAATTAGATACTTAGATTCAGGGTGGAGAGAGATTAAATTACCTGCCCACAGGGGTAGAATGCCTAGATCCAGAGGAATGTTTTATTAAGGAGAGATGCATGATAGAATATCTTTCCCAGCAGGAACTATGCATGTCGATGTGGGTTATGTATGAACAGTGAAACAATAGCTGGGCTAAACCCAAAGAAACACAACATTGTTTTCTAGATCCTAGTGCTTTCCAGTTCCTCATCCTCTGATAGATGCAAATGTACAGATGCTGCCCGAATGTGGGAGGACCTGGCATTTAATTACATCTCCATCTCAAAATGAATTTTGGACCACCTCCAGCTCACATCTCCAGACCACCAAGAGGCTATCCTCCAGTATGTTGGTGACCTTTGATATTCTTTCAAAGGTCCATTTCTGCATAATGAACTCTCAGGTGGGGTGCCAACATTCTTCATGTCCTTTAGACCACAACATAGATCAGTGGTAGAACATATGCTTTGTGAACAGAAGGTCCACAGCATCTCCACGTAGGGATGGGATATTCCCTGTCAGAAACCCTAGAGGGCAGCTGACAGACAGTGTGGGCAATACTAAACTGTATGAACCAATGGTCTGACTCAGTATAAAGCAATTTATTGTAGATTTGTTGCTAAAGTCTAGGATATGGCATGTATAGTGAAGTTAACAAATTTGGCTAAAGTGAGAGAGGGCAGACAGAATTTTTGTGATTATGATAGAAAAATGGATTTAATTTTATATTGGAATAACAAAGTGCAGGACTAAATGAACTCATTTTCTTTGCTGCAAAAAGTCTTCAGAGTAAGGAGTGTAGTAAAACAGGGTAGAAGATATGATTTTCCTTTTATGATTTATAGGATATATAAATAGTTAATGTGTGATTATTTATTAGAAACATCAAAATTGTATTTCAAATAATATTTATTAGAAATTGTACAGTATTAAATATAATTGTGCATCATTGTCTATCTAAAGCGCCTCTATATAGTCTTACTAAGAACAATAAATAAAAAATCGTAAAGGCAATTTCTTGTGTTCCTAAGATAAATTGTCTCTTTGAACTACCAATATAATTTCCTTACACCTTCATGATTGTAGATAACTGGTCTATAGGTTTGTGTGCAAAACATCATCATTCCTTACACTGGAAATGCAAATGATTGGGACATAAATAGGTCTGTTTCCCAAAATAGCCCTTGTTCTCATCACAGCCTCCTGTCTTGTAATGCAGTTACAGATTTTGAGTGAAAGAAGAACCAGCGGAAAATTATAAGTGTTTAGGACTTATTAAACCAAGAATTTCCTGGCTCACATGTCACCTTTTTTCACAGCTATGGTTCATCAAGCTTTGAGTTGGTGAGTTTTCCATTAATCCTAACTACAGCATGCAGAAACATTTTAATCCATAGGAGGTCAGATCTCCTGTAGTAGCTTCTCAGCTCTTAGATGGCAAGGTGCCCAGAAAACAGAACAATGGATTGTTTACTGTTTATCTGGCTGCTTTATTGTTGTTATTCTCATTTAGAAAGCTGCTTCAGGGGCTGTGTGGATGCCTAAGAATGACACATCTAAGTATTTTGATAGATAAGTAAAGTGGACAGCGTGCCCTCCTGGGGCAGGGAAATGATGACCCACTGGATCATTTACAGTAAATAGCTACATTTTAAGAGAACTATCCACTGAATGAAAAATTGTTTGTGTGTTAGGCCAACCTAGGAAAAAGAGGAATCAGCTTCCCCCCTCACTTCTAAGTTCCAACAAGTAACCTGCAAAAAGCAACAGTGTCACCTGTTTGCTTTCATTAGGGAATAGGTTTAAGAATTCCATCTTAAATGAAAGCCAGGTTCTTTATCATACAGAGTTTCATTGCCTTAGTTCAGATGTAACAACAAACCATGGTTTCCTTTACATGAATGAGTTGCAGTGGGACTTGGGCTCACACCCCTCTTCTCTTACACATAAGGAGGAAGAGTTCAGAAGCTTTCTTTCAGCCTTTAAACACACCACAACCCCATCATGTGGTGTCCAAATTTAGGGAACAGTGGTTTGTTTAAACTATGGTGTGATAATCAGCCATTATCTGTAACTACAGCTTATACTCGACTAACTCTCCCTGATCAGTAGCCCATAGTTCCACAGTAGCAGACAGCGTGGGAAGTGGGAAGCACTTACCTGACCTTTGGTCCATCCCACCAGTGCTGCTTCCCAGGTGATAGAGGGGGAGGGAAGGTCAGTGCAGGGTCCACGCACAGGCCGAGCCAATCCAGCACTCCCACTGGTGTGTTTGCACTGCAGCAGCCTTCCTGCTACCTCAACCTTCCCCCTCTCTACTCCCAATAAACAGCAGCAATGTAACCCTCTGGAGATCAGATGAGGACTGCTGCCATGCCACCTGGTACTTCAGTTCCCAAAATTCTGAAGTAATGGGAAACTGTACTTTATTTTTGAGATTGGAAACAAAAGCATCCAGTCTGCTACTTCTGGCTGCAAAAGGGGTGGAGAGGAAGCAAGAGGCAACCCATTCACTTTTACATCTCAGCTGGGCCAACTTTGCCATCTTTAGTAAACACCATTTGTTATAAAAGCAGTTGATGTTCTGCTATCCTCTCCTTAATGCTCAGTTAAGTTTATGTAGTAAATTGCCATCCCTGATGTCTAAGCTTGAATGCTCTGATATACATATATCATGCAGGGTCCCGTCCCCCCCATTATTACTAAGACACTACAGTACTTATATAAGGATTCATATGAAGTACTGGGGAATTTAAATCCTCATTTTCTTTCCTTCTTGTTACAAAAATAACCATCACAATAACCATCTTTGCAAATTTAGCAACCATTAAAACATATTTCGCCCATGAACTTATTTTACAACTAAAAGTGACATGTGCAGCTGTCCATCAATCATATCAACACACTATATGTATCCGAACTGTATACTAATGAGAGCCCAATGCACATATGAAGTTTATACGCACAGCTAAATCCAGTTAGATGAAACAGTAAATGAAAGAATAAAACACTATATTATGTTCTTCATGCATATACGTGTCTATGTGTGTGTATTTTTATTTTATTTTATAGGCATGCAGATAGATTTTGACATTTATGGTAATTTTTAGAGCGCAAAAATCTGAAACAAAAGCAATACAACCCCGCAAAGGTTCCAGGAAGAAAGAAAACTAAGTGTGAGAGAAGAAATAAATGTAAAAATGTAAGTCAGATGTCTGAACGTAAGAAAGTGTGCATCAAATTTAGCTGGACTGGTACTATCATAATGTCCTCTGAATGTAGGTGTGTGGGTACACTTCTTTATTACAGTTATATTCCGCCTTTATTCCACGGAGCAGACGGTAGAATATATTATTCCCCTTCCTCCCAGTTTATCATCACAACAACCTTGTGAAGTAGGCTACACTGAGAAGGAAAGAAGGATTGGACCAAAGTGAGTTTCATGGCTCAGTGGGGATTTAAGCCTGAATCTCCCCAGTTCTAACCATCTCCACATTTTCTCTCACTTGAGAAGAAATGTGTATATATACTGCATCTCCTTGGTAATAAATATATAAATATATACAGTCGTTCCTTGATTTTCGCACACAATGCAATCCAGAAGTCCGTTTGACTTCCGAAACGTTCAGAAACAAAGGCGCAGCTTCCAATTGGCTCCCGATTGTACAGGCATGCTGGAAACAATAGTGCATGGGTAGGCAGGTAAACTAAGGGCCGGATCCGGCCCAATTGCCTTCTAAATTTGGCCCGCAGACGGTCCGGGAATCAGCGTGTTTTTACATGAGTAGGAAATGTCTTTTTATTTAAAATGCATCTCTGGATTATTTGTGGGGTCTGCCTGGTGTTTTTACATGAGTAGAATGTTTATTCTCTGGGTTATTTGTGGGGCATAGGAATTCGCTCATTCCCCCCCCCAAAAAAATAAAGGTCTGAGGGACAGTGGACCGGCCCGCTGCTGAAAAAGTTTGCTGACCCTTGCAATACCGGAAGCTGCATCGGACGTTTGGCTTCCAAAACAACTTTCGAAAACAGGAACACTCACTCCTGGGTTTCAATAGTTCGGGAGCCAAAATGTACAAGTACCAAGGCATTCGACA